AGCCCACAAGGACATCGAGCACCAACGGCACCTCTATTCCTATAGAACAAGCCCTATCTTCATGTGAGCAGATTCAAAAATTACCAACGGCTCAAAGAACTACTCCACCCAGAACAAGTTGCATGTAATACTACAATCTGCAATCGATCCTATAAGAAATACCTAAGTAAACATTAAAGAGACAAAACAAGAAACATAACAGGAAGAATGAGACTAAAGAACAGGAGGATTTGAAAACAAACCAAATAGAACCTCCAGAAATGAAAAGTCATTGAGAAAACCTCATTGGAAAGGATGAGCTGCAAATTAGATACAGATGAGGAGAAAATGCTTAACTGGATGATTTATATGAGGAAAATATACAGGGGAGATACAAATTGGAAGGGACAAAATAATTGAAGGGACAGGAAGCTAGAGTAAATTACTCTTGCATATGCCTAAGAGGAGCTACAGAAAAGGACAATGCAGAGGATGTGTTGAGATAATATTCAAGTAGATAAATGACTAAGAATCTTGCCAACTTGATGCTATGTATCCTCAGATTCAGAAAGTGCAGGCAGTTCTGGGTAAGAAAGAGAAACGACATCTAGATACAGCTCAGATAAATTACAAACATCAAACTAAAAAGGAAATTTTAAAGCAGCAATGTGAAGAGAGAAGGTTACCTCTAATATGTAATTCCTTTACCATTAAGGATTTTGAGCATCATTTTAGGTTTACTGGCTACTTGTATTTGTTCTTTTTGCATTATCTATCCATGTACATTGCCTGTTTTTTCTATTAGGTGGTTTAATCTTTCCTTGTCATTTTATGTAATTTGTGGTTGAAGATGTCAACTCTGCATCTGTCTTTTGATTTGAAAATATTTTCCACAGCTATTTTTTTCTGGACTTTGTGAGAAATAGAAATATCACATAGAAAATTTAAATCTCGTGTAGTCAAATGTACCTATATTACTAGCTTTAAGTTCTCCTGACTTAATAATGAAGTTCTCACCAATGTTACATTTTATCTACTTTTTTTCTCCTGTTACATTTAAATTTCTAACTTACTTGGAATTCTATTTGTACAAATTGAACCACACTTTTTTTTCTTTCAGATATCGGTGTAAATGTGTCATCACAGTTTTTAAGTACACTATTAATTCCTTGCTAAAATAAAATACCATACATTAAATTCCCATAAGAAATGGGATCTATTTTTTAGATTCTTTCCTCTAGTGCATTGATCTAGCTATCCGTTCCTACAGCATTACCTTATAATTTAACTATGATGATTTAATGATATGCCCTATATCCAATCATAGCCAAGTAGTCACTTAATCTTCTTCATTGTATTTTCTTGCTATTATCAGATGTTTCTTTTCCTGTGAACATTAATTTTATTTCACTCAATGTTTCTGAAGTTAGAATCCAATTCGAATGATATTACATCTGTTTCTAATTTTTTTAAATTATTTTTTATGGTGATATTGGTTAACGAAATCTGATAAGTTTTAGCTACACATTTTTTAAAATAAGGACTATATATATATATTTACACTGTGTGTTCACCTCTCATAGGTAGATTTCTTTCTGTTACCACATATTTGACCCCCTTTAACTCATCTACCTCTCCCCCACCCCTTACCGTCTGGTAACCATTAGTCTATAGTCCATGTCCATGAGTCTCTGTTTGTTTGTCCTGTTCATTTGTTGCTTTTAGGTTTATATCCCACATATAAGTGACATCATGTGATTTTCAGCTTTTTCTGTCTGGCTTATTTTACTTAGCATGATTATCTTGAGGTCCATCCATGGTGTTGCAATTTCAAGTCTTTGAGGTAAATACCCAGTAGAGGTATTGCTGGATCATATGGTAGATCTATTCTTAGATTTCTGAGGAACCTTCATACTGTTTTCCATAGTGGCTGTACCAATTTGCAGTCCCACCAGCAGTGTATGAAGGTTCCTTTTTCTCCGCATCCTCTCCAGCTTTTGTTATTACTTGTCCTGTTGATTATAGCTATTCTAACAGGTTTGAGATGATATCTCATTGCAGTTTTGATTTGCATTTTCCTGGTAACTAGCAATATTGAGCATCTTTTCATATAACTGTTGGTCATTTATATGTCTTTTTGGGAGAAGCGTCAGTTCAGGTCCTCTGCCCATTTTATGATTGGATCATTTGCATTGTTGTTGTTATCGACTTGTATGAGTTCTTTCTATATTTTGGATATTAGGCCCTTATCAAAGGTATTGCTTGCAAATATATTTTCCCATTCAGAAGGTTGTCTCTTTACCTTGGTGACGATTTCTTTTGCTGAGCAGAAGCTTTTTCGTTTGATGTAGTCCCATTTATTTATTTTTGCTTTAAGTTCCCTGCCTTTGAGGCCAAATTCATAAAATCCTCTTTAAGTCCAAGATCCTTGAGATTAATTTCTATGATTTCTTCTATGCATTTTACTGTTTCAGGTCTTATATTGAGGCCCTTAATCCATTTTGAGTTCATTTTGGTGTGTGGTGATACAGAGCCGTCTAGTTTCATTCTTTATCAGCTGGCTTTCCAGTTTTCTCAGAACCATTTATTGAAGAGAATTTCTTTCTCCTCTGTATGTTTTTAGCTTTTTTATCAAAAATTATTTGCCATATAAATATGGGTTTACCTCTGGGCTCTTAATTCTGTTCCGCTGGTCTGTGTGCCTATTTTTCTGCCAATACCATGTTGTTTTGATTATTGTCGCTTTGTAGTATAATTTGAAGTCAGCAGTGTGATGCCTCCAGCCTTGTTCTTTTTTCTCAGGATAGCTGTGACAATTGGGTGTCTTTTGTGCTTCTGTACAAATCTGATGATGTTTTGTTCTATTTCTTTAAAAACTG